AAGTTTGACTGTGGAACAAAACCAGTACTCTGAGGATAATGAGTGTCTACAGAAGAAACTGAAATCGGAGAAAAGTAGCAGGAAAAAAGCTATCCTTTCTTCTGGTAATTTTAAAAAGAGGAAAGAAAATGACCAAATAGAAGTGAAGCCAGTAATAAAAAAGTTCAAACAACCAAATGGTGGTAATAATGAGTCCAAACTGTCTCCTAAGAAGCTACTCTTTGGGATAGGAGAACGAATACAGAGGGCTGCAATTCAACTTGGTGGATCAAATCCAGTTCTCAAGTCTCATACAGAGCTCCCTCCATTAAATGAGGTTCTCTCAAAGCTCTCGTCTACTGCAACAGATCCCATGAACAGTAATACCTTGGTGGGCCCATTTTTTAGTTTTTTCATTGATTTTAGGGATTCATTTCTGAAACTTTCCGATTTCAGAGGACATGAAAAAGGGTCAGGAGAATCTGAAGAACCTTCAGGACATGTAGATATTGAGTGTGACTCTGAGGATCCATCTGGTACAGTGGGGGTGGGAGATGCGGAGCATGAATCCTCCCCGACTGCACTGATTCTTAACTTTCGAGACTCGGACTCCGTACCTTTAGGAGGGGAACTCAACAAGACATTCAGTAGGTTTGGTCCTCTGGATGAGTTGTTGACGGAAGCAAAAGGTAAGAAGAGGAAGAGTGCAAAAGTTGTGTTCAAGAAGAGAGCTGATGCTGAATCTGCTTTTAGTAACGCTGATAAATTTAGCACTCTTGGGCCGTCACTCATTAGTTACCGCCTAAACTATCTTTCAAAGGGTAGGAAATCTGAAGGCTTTTAGCTGCACTTGACTTAGATGGGAGTGATATGATCTGTCAATAGTTGTCCATCCTTGTTCTTTTGCTTACTCTGTTTTGGTGAGTCCAGAGGCAATATTAGGTAATCTATTGAGAAATCAGTTCCTTTTTTTGCTAGTATGTAGACCATATAGACTACAGAATTTCAATGGCCATATTGCTCACACGGATTTGATTGGTTAAGACAGACTTGTCTATGTATAGTACGGAACACTCTCCTAGAAAACCGAGGTTAATGTGCATTTTGATTCAAAGGTTCAATTCGTGAAGATTCGAGAAATGTATCAAGAAAAACTGCTTTAATTTCGTAAAATACTGGCATAACTCTCCGCCCTCCTCCGGAGATATTATTGGCCAATTTTCAAGTGACGTTTCATGTGTGCAGGGTTAATGATTTTTGTTCTTTAATTTTGCAATAAACGTAAGAACCGGTACTGTTTGGGCCCGGCCCGGCCCAGTACCCGGTTATAGGACCGGTCCGGGCCACCCGAACCCGGAATTAATCGGGCCGGTTTCGAGCCTCCTAAAAGTGGAACCGGCCCAGCCTATTTTTTTTTTTTTTTTTTGGTTTTTTCAATTTTTTTTGGTTTCTCCCGGTTTGGTCTGGGTGTTTTGGGGGGTGGAGGGGTTGGGTGAGGGTGGGGGGTCAGGGGTTAATAAGAAAAGCAAAAGAAATTAAAAAAATAACACGAACCGGCCCGGCCCAGAACCGCTGCCTACCCGGGTTGGTTCTGGTTCTTCCTTCTCAAAAAAAAAGCCCGGTCGGGCCCGGCACGGGTCCATTACTAATGAGAGGCTTATCTGCAATTTTTTTCACTAAACACATAGGGAGTACTTTTTTGTTTTGCGCGCTGAATTGTGTAACAATTAGAAAATGGAAGATGTTACTTTTCAGGCTGTACTGGCTGACTATTTTAACTATTTTTCATATAATTTTTTCATTACTTTATTAATAAAATATATTTTAAATATAATTTTTACATAAATGAGCATCATCGGCAAATCATGACACTTCAACCAGAACTTTATAAAATTCAACAGAATTAGCCCTCTACAGCTAATTTTAGTGTTATCAAACGAGCTCTAAATTTCTACGTTTAATACCCCTAATCTAATGAACTAATTGTCTCTCTAGTTTCCTTGGTCACTAGGGCAGTCCGTTGGTGGAAGAGGTGATCGGCGGTGACAGCGATCGGCAATGGGGCGGCAGTCATCAGACTTCCGGTGACATGTGGTGGCAAGCGGCCTGGGAGAATCTGGATTTTTTGCCCTGCCGAAGCTCCGGTGATTAGAAACACCAACTAGAATTTGGGCGGCAGACGAAGTCTGGTGGTTGGTATTGGTTGCAAGCGGCAGATGGTGACACTGGCTAGGGGTGGGGCATTTATGTCCAATCATAAAAAGAATCTTATTTTGGGAGTTTTCAAACTTCTACTGTCATTTTTTTTATTTTTAGGCATCTTTTAATCCTATTTAGTGATGTGCTAATTCACTCATTTTTCTGTTCCTACCTCACTCCGATCTTGAAAAACGAACCATTAATCTTCAAATTCACTCACGTAAGGTCGTAAAGATCCATATCACATTTAGAACCGCGGCAATCAGTAAATAGTATGGATTGTAGCCTTGTAGCCTTGCGGGTTGTAGGTATGGACTACATATGCTAAAATTACTAATATGACGAGAGTTCCCGCACGGGTGGCTCAGTTGGTTGAGTGGTGTGAAATTTGGATCGAAGCATCAAGGTTCGAATCCCGCAGCGATCGGGTGGAGGTTATAGCTTCTGAAATGGGTTGGACCTCTGGCACGCACGAGTATATGGGCCTACTGTCATTCCGTTGATTGAGTCACCGTGTGATTCACATCCTCCCATGTGTCTTGTTGGGTCGGGGCGTGGGGGGCTCTGGGGGTGGGAGATTCCACCTTTTGGATCGACTAATATGACTAGAGTTTATGTTCCTTACCGTTTTTCCAGAAACCCTTTAACCAAATATAAAGCACCGGTCAACGGTTCTTGGCAGGAGTGAGCAATTCGATTTATTGTTTGATTTTCATTGATTTCGGTTCGGTTTTGGTTTATTCGGTTTGAGAGATATTGTTTCAAACTAAAATCATTTGTTTTTTAGTTTGGTATCGATTTAGTTTCAAGTTTCGCTTATCAAAGTGAAATATATTTGGTTCAATATAGTTCAGTTTGATTGAATTTTATATTTTCGTTTTTTATTTGATCAAAATCTATAGTTTAGAATTCGAAAATAAAAATAGTACTTCATCTCTCTTCTTGTTTCTATTATTTATATTTATATATAATATAAATGACAATAAAAGATAAAAAAAGAAAGGGAAAAGGTGCAAATAGGCCCATGTACTCACAAAAAAAGGTCAAATAAGCCCTTATTTAGGAGGCACTGTCCGGCCGTCGCCATTTGGAGTGGTTCCCGGTGGATTTTTTTGATAATTTTTTTGAGCATCTTATTCATTAAGTCTAGTTTACTCATACCAAATTTCAGGTAAAACTTCAATCAGGAAGGCATTCAAATGAATTTTTGAAAATAACTGCACAGTTAGAAGCGCAGTTATCTTCAAGAATTCATTTGAATGCCTTCCCGATTTAAATTTTAGCTAAACTTTGGTATGAGTAAACTAGACTTGATGAATAAGATGCTCAAAAAATTTCATCAAAAAATTCCACCGGGAACCACCTGAAATGACGACGGCCGGACAGAGCCTCCTAAATAAGGGCTTATTTGACCTTTTTTAGTTACTACATGGGCCTATTCGCACCTTTTCTCAAAAAGAAATAATAAAATTTCATAAATTAACACCTATTTATCTTACTAACACTCACGTCTAACATCTTTTCATTCACTATAAAAAAAAATTATCGCTCACAAAAGTAATTTTTTAGTTGATTAACATTTAAATTATCTCATATACATTCATATAAAATGTATAATTTCCTCTAATTTAACTGAAATGAATATAAATTAAATTTATTATCATCATCAAACATATTTTCAAATTGGTCGAGTAAAATATACGTAGTATAACATCTGAAAGTATATTTTATTAGTTAACATAACTTTGTCATATCATTCACATCTTAATTACTTCCCCCGTTCTTTTTAGTTGCAACGGTCAACATTTCATACTTGCCAAAGTATGTCTTTGACCGTAATTACTTCCTCCGTTCTTTTTTAGTTGCAACGGTCAACATTTAATATTTGCCCACGCACGTCTTTGACCGTAATTATATCCTAATCTCTATCGGTAAAAAAAATTTAAAAATCGGATTTTGAAACTTTGTAATGAGATGAATTGAACAATTTTTTTAAAAAAAATAATTTTCATAAAATAATAGCATAAAATTTAGTCAAAATAGAGTCTGTGAATAGTGTAAAACATAACATGTTGCAATTAAAAGCAAACGGAGGATAGTATATCTTAATCTCTATTGGTAAAAGAAAATTAAAAATTAGATTTTGAAAATTTGAAATGAGATAAATTGAACAATATTTTTTTAAAAAAAATTAATTTTCATAAAATAATAACGTAAAATGTAATACTTTGAGTGCAGACATACAAAGTATTTTTTTTATAAATAATACAAATTGTTCAATTTTCAGTTTACAATCTTTCAGTATAAAACCAAATCAAATTAAACCACTCAATTTGAACAAATTAATACCAAACAGTTTCCTGACAAACTCAAAGCAAACCAAAATACCAATTTTCAATTAGATTAGTCTTGGACTCGGGCCAGGTGGCCCGACCCAGAACCAGCCCGGGACCGATACTGTGCTGACCCGGCCCGGCCTGGTGGCCCCTGCCCGGGGGGTTCCTGGTGCAAGCTCGGATCACCTATAAGCCAAACCAGCCAGTTCAAGCCCGGTTCAGGGCTTTTTAATTTTTTTTTCAATTTTTTATATTTTCAGGTTGGATTGGATATTTTGGGCCATTTGGGTGACTTGGGGGTGTGGGGGGTAATTAGGAAATGGAAAAAAAACTTGACCCGAGGCCCGGCCCGGCCCAAAACCAGACCGCACCCAGTGGCTACCCAGGCCAGTCCCGGGCCTCCTCCAAAAAACCCAAGGCCCAACCGGCCCTAAGCCCGACCCGGGTCTATGACTAAGTTAGATCAAACCAAACCTTTGCACAACCCTAGTTCTTATGAATTAAGCAAAGGATTGCCATTAAATAAACTCCATAACATAAAATGAGATAACTTCAAGACATGGTTCAACCTCACTTTCTTAAATTAGAAGAGATGACAAAATTCGTTAACAGTGAAGGAAATATGAAAGACAAATCCATAACAAGGAAACAACAACGCAAATCTAGTTCCAATCTATTTAACAATATAACATAATATGGCTGAAATAGGGTTCACAAAATTAAGATCTTGGCTTTTCCTTCTTCTCCTTGAACAAGGCCAAAAGGGAGACACCTGAAACCTTCACAACCTTAAACCTGACCCCAGGAATATCTCCGACGGCATGACCCTTTCTACCAAATCCAGCAATCAACACCTCATCCTGCAACAGTGAAAAAATTAAGAATCTCTACTCATGCACAATTCTACACAAAGGGAAATTAGCTTACGTTTTCTTCAATGTAGTTCAAGCAACCATCATTTGGAACGAAGGCAGCAATCTTCTTCCCATTCTTAATAAGTTGAACCCTAGCACACTTTCGAATAGCAGAGTTTGGCTGTTTGGCTTCAATACCACTGAACATGACAAGAAAGGGAATTTCAATAATCAGATTCGTAATTCAACAATAAGAGAACTAATTTATTTATTCCCAATGAGATAAGTGGATTATACATCTTCTCAAGGACAATGCCTTTAGCATGGGATGAGCCAGCAAATGGTTTCTTCCATTCATTCCCAAGATGAGACTTCTTGTATGCCTTGTCAGCCCACCTTTGATTCCTGCGGTGGGTCTTCAACTTGCGAGCAGCTCCCATACCTCGTGTCTTCCTGGGACATCATAGAAAATATGTCAAACAATAGTTTTACAATAGTCTATACATCCATCCACTAAACATTATTCCTCTAGATGCCTGTATACAGTTTTTTCCCAACCCTTGGGCAGTCTAATATATTTATACTCCACCTACTAACAAATCCCGACCTAGGACTCTAGTTATTTCCTAATCCTGCAGATTAGGTATCTCAATAATTTACAACATCACGTGTTATGTTACATTAACCATTTTCTAACGCCTTGCAAATTGCAAGCAAATGTTGGTCTATAGAATTTGTAGACAATAAATTGTATGCCTCTAAAGTTCAAACAATGTTTTGTTCAAAAAATGAAAACCTGCTATTTATTACGGAGTACGCATTTACAACAAAAGAGTAAAGACAGATTAACACGAAAAATTTGTTGAGATGAACAAATAATTAAAGTTTATGCTTTTGAAATAATTTACATTACCAAAAAAAGAGATGGCATAACTTATGTATGATACTCTGGGGGAGCGGATATATATCATTTGATTGCAATAAAGTAAACGCTAGTCCGGTAAAATAAGATACAGTTATGATATTAGATAGGCATTGCACAAAAATGAAGCATCAGACAGGAAAAATTGGTTCTTGAGAAAGAGGTTCTGCTCTTATCATGTGATACCATGTCTTATTTAAATTAAAATGAGCTCAGTTTAGCGCGTTGATATTCCTAACATAAATGTGTTCAGCAGATTCTCTACATTACTTCATCAAGCCTCTACATCGCCAAAGCACATATAATCCGATCTAGTCAGACACATTCATAGAGTACCCGTTTAAACGATATTAGAACGCAGGAAAGTAAACATAGCGACTTGAAATCCATGTCGATTAATAAGTTGTATCATAATTGCAAACAATAGTAGAGCTGTGATGAAGGCATACCCCATGATTGCTGATAGAATACGACAGCAACTCCGGCAGAGGGTCTGAGACGATGGAGATGATGAGACGCAGCAACTATATAAAACCCTAACCCTACATCTCATGAGGCGCAAGAGTTTTTATAATGCGTTATGGACAATTAGGCTTCCTTGGCCCAGAGCAGTAAAACGAGATGGGCCGTGGGCGCAGTATGCTTGGATCATCGATCTCACGCAAATAATACCATGCGATGGACCATTGGACCGTACCAAGAATAAAGCTTGTTGAATTAGGCTATGTTTGGCACACAAAAGGCTCTAGCTTCTAGTTTCTCTATTCTTTAAAAAGACCTTAAAAGACTTTAATTGTATGTTTGACATGATATTTTTTAAGAGCTTTTCAAAAATTAAAAGATTTTTTTTGAGATGCTACCGGGTGTAGCATCTGAGAAAAGTTCGTGACTTTTAGTATTAATTAGTCCTAACAATTTGACCAAACCGAACTAAATCAAATAGTTAGCTTTTTACCAAACAACTATCACCTTTTCTTTTTAAGATCTTTTCAGTCACTAAAAGCTAACAATTACTAAAAAGCTCGTAAAAGTATCTTTTTAACTAGTTGTGCCAAACATACCCTTAATCTAAGATACAATAAATTTCGATGAAAATTTTCTCAAATAGGAGTTTTATTATTTTCTTCCTCAAATAGGTTCACACACTCCTATTTAAGAAAGTTTTTATTCTATTATTCTTGTAATAGGATGACAAAAAAAGGTGGTGTAGAAAAATGGTAGAAATCGAAAATAAAAATGTCCTATTTACGTGGTGAAAAATTTTATTTAAACATTTTATTTCAATAATAATGCTATCATGAGTAGGGTTGTGCAAGAACCGGGTCAAACCGGAACCGGACCGGTTAAACCGGATCCGGACCGGACCGGTATGTAATCCGGTCCGGTTTTCAGTTTTAGAATTCAAGGGAACCGATTACCGGTCCGGGTTCGGTTAATACCCGGATATAATCCGGTTTAAACCGGAAATAACCGGAAATTAATAAAACACTTTGTATTCCCAAATTAATAAACTCAACGGCCAGATTCTGCCTATAACCCTAACTCCCTAAATCGCAACTCACAAGTCTAATTCCAAAATCCAAAGAGCAGACTTTTCCGATCATCTTCTTCGATTCAGCCGGCCTGGCGCACCACCGTAGAAATCCGGCCTGAAGTTGGCACACCACCATATTCTTCTCACTCTGTTTCTTCACATAATCTGTTGTTGCAGGCCTGCGGCGGTGAGCAGCCAAGAGGACGGCGCTAACAGGTCATAGGTCAGAGCAACACCAGACATATTCTTCTCACTCTGTTTCTTCACATAGCTTTTTGAGAGTTAATATTAAAATAACTAGTTCAAATGCTATTGTAGGCTTTTGAGAGTTATTTAACTAGTTGAATAAAATTCTATTCAAATTAAGCAGACAGAATGGACCTACGGCTTTTGAGAGTTATTAACTAGTTTAATTTTGAATTCCTGTCTGCGAGGCATTAAAATAACAATTTGTAGCTTTTTGAGAGTTATTAACTAGTTGAATAAAATTCTATTCAAATGCTGAAAGTATGAAAATAAACTACTTCAAAAATTCTATTGTAGCTTTTTATTATTAAAATGCTAATAGTTTTGCTAAATTGCTAATATAGATTTTGTGTGATTATGTAAATGTGGAAGACACGAATTGCTATACCGAGGAAGTTGTTTATGTTACTTGAAGAGTTGAAGATTGGAATTCTATATTCACATTGTCAAAGTCTAAATACTTTGTGTTGAAGTGGAGTGCTTTTTTATTGTGGACTCTTTGAACTATTTTTATTTTGCAAATGTTGAATGTTTATGTTGAATTATTTGTGTTGTTGATCATTTAGAGCAATTTATGTTGTTATGGTTGTCAGTTGTCACTTGGGAGCCCAAAATGTTGTTATATTTTGCAAAAAGTTTAAGAATGCAGAAGAAGTCCAGAATGCTTACTAAAAGTTGCAGGTTTCCTAATGTTACCGGTTTTCCGGACCGGGTCCGGTTTTTAACCGGATTGGACCGGTCCGGTTCCGGTCAAAACCGGATATATTCCGGGCCGGTTTTCGGTTCTATAATTTTTAATAAACCGGTTCTGGTCCGGATCCGGTCTGGTCCGGTTCCGACACGGTGCACAGCCCTAATCATGAGTAGGGGTATGTAAAAACCACTTCAAATCGAGATATAGGATCGTAAAAATCGTGACTGAACATAATTCGGTTAAAAACCATATTATTCCGGATGGAATTGGATTGAACATGATTTGCTATATTATAAAATATATCAATTAGTATGAATACTATGAAATAGTTAGGAATTTTATGATGATGACGACGACAATAATGACAATGATAACAATAATAAAGAGTAATAGTAATAATAGTAGTAATAATATAGTAATAGTAGGACTAGTAGTGGTAACAACAACAACAATAACAACAATAAAATAATAATAATCTAATGAGTTTAATATATATTATCTTAATGGTAGACTCGCCCATTTATTCCTATTATGGTGATAATAGGAGTGACTAATATTTAATATTATACTGATCTACACTCAAATTGATCCAATATTTTTCCCTCCTTAAAAACAATTATGAAAGTAATAAGAAATCAATATTAATATTAATAGTAATATCAATACTCTCTCCATAATTTTTAAAATGTATATTAATCTTGCAACAATTCCAATTTATCAAAAGTTCCTATCAAAATATACTTAAATACACTTAGATTTCATCTTTAATTACATTCTCTAACCTACTTTATCACTTAAAACTATTTTTTTGTGCCGAAACATATGTTGTAAACAAAAAAAACTTGAGGTAGAATTTATTATTAATAAATACCCCCTCTTAGTTGGGCCTAAGAATAAAAACTTGAAACAAATATAGTTGATTACTTAAAAAAAGAACGTCTTTTTCCCTAGGAGTCTGGGGTTTGTGCCGAATTCGCTCTTCGTGCAACTCTTTTGAGTGCTTTTTGTGGATCGTTGCGCTTACTGCTACACTAAAACCAATCGCTGATAGTGTAGCACGCTCCTCCCCATTTATAGCACATGTGAAGCGCCACGCGGTTCGATTGCACCGGCAAGCTGGCATATTGCTAACACCGTATACCCGCGGACCAACAATCCCCCCCAGCACCTGCCAGCCTCAACTGCGCAGCATGCTGTTGCCGGGAGTCGAACTCGTGACCTTGGATCTGATACCAATTGTGGGTCGTTGCGCTTACCGCTACACTAAAAGCAATCGTTGATAGTGTAGCACGCTCTTCCCCATTTATAGCACATGCGAAGCGCCACGTGGTTCGATTGCACCGGCAGGCTGGCATATTGCCGACACCGCATACCTGCGGCCCAACACCAGCTTCAAGCTACTATCGAACGACAATCTTTCTCCAGAAGCTAGAAGTTCTAAAACTTGAATCAGTTGTGTCTATGAAAACTTCGGGAAGGAATTAGCTAAATAAATAAAGCTAAGTGATCGCTAGGGGGGCCTCCAAAGATTCTGTTATTGCCTCGCCAAAGATATCCATCCAGCCTTCTAAAACAAAGATTTTGTCCAACTTCTCCTCAACCCAATTCAGAGAATACCGCTAGCTCTCCCAAGTATACGGATATCCTTGAAAAGGAAAATTTTGCAAACCACACGCCCACACCGCTTCCCGAAAACCTCTTCAAAGCCAAGGTGGATGAGGGATACGACCTCGTTTATCAAAAGGAACCATGGGGTCATTAAAGTCACCCATCACTATCAAGGGAAGATGAGGTTCCGTATTTAGGGATGTTAGCCGATCCCATGACTCTCTCCGTCTGCTCCGCTCAGGGCAACCATAAAAGCCTGTGAAACGCCACACTAGATCCTCGGGCTCCAACTGAATATTGGCATCAATATGATGAGAGGATTAGTCTCGAACATGAAGCTGTATTCCTTCCATCCATAATAATGCTAGCTCGTCCCTATGACCATCACTGTCAACAACATAACAAAAATGCAAACCGACTTTCCTCATCACAGCCTCCGCTCTAAATTTATTAGTAAAAGTCTTCATTAAAAAAATGAAACCCGGCTTCTTCAAGTGAATCAAGTTCACAAATGCTTGAACTGTCGCAGGATTGTTGAGCCCACGATAGTTCCAACTTAAGCAGCTCATTGATGATCTTGGCGGGCCTGGCTCCCAGGTCCGCCGCTTCCCCATTTTTTGCCTCAGTGTATTCCATGGTAGTAGAATTCAAAGAGCTAGTTCTGAATCCTCGAATCCTCCAGTAGCATTTGATATGTCCACCGCATCTTCCTCCCCTACATCGCCAGACCACCCTTCAGTTTCCCCTCCCACACCCCCACCACACTGCCAGGCCGAACATTAGCCAAAGGCCTACCAGTGCCATCCACCAACCATCTGTTTCAACCCCCTCGTCCTCTCCAACTTCCCGCCCGCAACCAACTACCCAATTAAGTGCCTCTGGTTTTCCTCTCATGTGTTATCAAAACGCCTCGGACATAACCTGTCAGTGTGATTCATCAAACCACATATGAAACAAAAATATGGCAGCCTCTCGTACTTTATCTCCACTTCCACAGTTTTCACCTCCCGTTTAAGGTTCAACCGGCCTCTCAACGATTTATCAACCAGTATATTGACCGTGATGCACATAAACTACTTCCATCCTTCGGTAAAATTATTTGGGTCAGACTGCACAAAGATTCCCAAGTGATTGCCAATCAATTGGGTTGTTTTCTCTGTAAAATACCGCATTGGAAGCTTGTAAATTTACACCCAGAAAGTTTCAGTCTCAAGTGGGACGTTTATAGGATCCTCATCTCCGTCAAGTCTATGCAACACCAACAAGTTATTCTCATAAGACCAGGGACCATCAGAGATAACTCGCAGAACATCTGCCTCCTAGAAGAATTGAAAGAGGATTTGTGGATCGTTGCGCTTACCGCTACACTAAAAGCAATCGCTGATAATGTAGCACGCTCCTCCCCATTTATAGCACATGTGAAGCGCCACGCGGTTCGATTGCACCGGCAGACTGGCATATTGCTGACACCGCATACCCGCGGCCGAACAATCTCCCCCCCAGCACTTGCCAGCCTCAACTGCGCAACATGCTGTTGCCGGGGGTCGA